ATATATATATATATATATATATATTTTGCTCATAAGTCACAGAGACACATTACAATTTTTTCTTCTGTTTTCATGTTTACAAATGGGCAGTGTTTTATCTTGTTGATTCTTTTTTTAAGAGTTAATTTGTTTGTGCCTTTGTACTTTCTAGAAGGGCTTACTAGAGCTGTAATTACTTCCACAGTCATGTCATTGAGTGTATCTCTTTTTCACTTAAGTTTCTGCACATCTAGTGTATTTTCTATGTAATAATAAGAGAAATTGTAGTTAATTTAATACTTTACTATTTTTACTTCAAGTGGAATAATAACACTTGTGCTTATGTTGAGCAGTTAAATGGCTACAATGCTACGTTAAGCAGTCCCAGTGATTCTGTAGTATCTAACATAACCAAGACATCTTTTTGGATCTTCTACTTTTCTTTTTTTATTAATATGTGCAGCTCTGACTTATTTCTTAATCCAAAGAATACACAAAGTGTGTACTGGTGGAACAATTTCTTATCCTTGGTCAATTGAATGCGGTTCAGTTTGTCTGTCAATGTCTTAAGTAAAATAAAGTTTGAGTACTTGTCAAAGTGATTTTTTAATGCAGTGTTCAGGTATGATTTTGTTTAATGACATGCATTTATACAAAAATCACAAAGGCATGATTTTATAAACAAAACAGCATCTAATTTAGTGGACTCTTCAGGACATGTTCTGTATCCATCAGCTGATGACAAGTCAGTAATGAAGGATATTACAATGTTAGAAGAACAAGAAGTGATTTCAAGAAATTGTCAGGAGAAATAAGTTGTTCAGCTTTTAGGTACTTTTTAAGGACTTATGAAAATGAATTATAATTGCCTACATAGACCTAGCATTATTCAAGCATGTCTATGTTCAACAGTTGACAGATGAAAAAGGAAGCCAACTAAGGTTTGGTAGAAAAACTTGCTGTCGGTGTCATTTAGTTGAAATGCTTCAGATTTGGACATAACTTCTTTTTTAAAACAAAGGGTCCCAACTTAGTGAAATAATCTTAATGAAATGTACATTAACTTGGTATTTGGATACATTTACAAACCAAAAGGGGGAAACCTCTATTTCAACTACAATAATTAGATGGACACAACTTAACTTAGATTCTCTTTATGCCTTTTCTCTGCAGGCTGATGAAATTATGAAATAAACCACAGAGGCCTGAGACAGCATCAGGCAAATCATTCTTTTCCCACCAGAGCAGATTTAGTCGGGCTACAGTGCTCAATTGTAGAGAAAATCAAGTTGTGCTTATTTTGTTATGTATTTTTATAGACTTTACTTTGTACATCCGCATCAAAACACTCAAAAAGAAATGTGTACAATACCATGTTTAAAGTTTTTAAGACTTTAGGTCATATTTACTGAACAAAATCTACAAACAATTCTGTTCTAAATTTCAAGACTTAATACAGGCACAATACCTGCCTGATGCAGTGACTCAATCAGCCTCACTTCGTCTTTAACAGAACTTGACAAAAATGTGTCAGTAAACAGCCCAACATAAGCTTACATAACTACTATATTATAACCATAACATTCATTTCAGTGAATGGCCGAAAACAATATTACACAGAGAACTTCGTAAAATGGTCAAACTGCAGTAAAAAAAAAAAGAAAAGAAATTAATACTTTGTAATACAAAAAAGAAAAAGTAACATCATGGAAGGACTTGTTCGCTGTCTGAAGGAAGTGGCACTTGGTGGACAGCAACATGAGAGGATTTACTTGCAGGTTCCCAGGTATCATCCCAGATTTTTCCGCTAGAAAAGAACAACAACAAAATAAGGATGTGGATTTTTTGTGCTGTAAGGTTCACAAATCTCTCTTTCTAAGATGTATACCTGACTTTAAAAGGAGGTAATGTAGCCAAAGCATCTTCTCTGCCTACATCCACCCAAATGCCAACTAGTACTTACATCTTGTTTTGTCCCAAATATACATTATCTTGACTTAAGTGTTAAATGATAATCTGACTCCAGTCATTTTTACCACTACACAAAAAATGAAAATCTCTCATAGTGCTTCTGTTTGTTAGAAAAGTCTAAAAGTTAAAACAGAAAAAAATTGACAGTTTCAGATTAAATGTCCAGCTTATATGAATTATAAGCTTATAATTATATGCTTATATGAACTATAAAAGGCACAGTGTTAAATAATAAGTGTTGAATCACCTTTAAAAAGTCCAAATAATCCCAAAATCAGAATTTCTTTGCTGATAAATGGCCTAATTACGATATTTGGAGTTCTATCTCTATATTTCTATGTTTCTGTGCAAATGCTGACTTTTTTGTGTGAATTTGTTTCACCCAAAGATGTTGTGACTTATGTTGTATAAGTATTACTGATTCCGGTTGTAATGCCCGTTTTTGTCCTCATAAAAATAATAAAGACAAATATAAAGAAAGAAAAGGAGTCTGGTAGGTCAGTAATTAAAGCCACAAAGTTTATAAGTAAACAACTGTGCTTATTTTTTTTGCAGACCACCACCCCACTTATCACCCCTCCCCCCATCTACTCATCTTCACATGTGGCAATGTCTCAGTGAGCCTTGGCATGTTTGACTGGGGTGGGGATGTACTGTCACAGGGTGGATTAGTTAAACTTTTAGACTTACCGCATTAGTTCTACGCCCAGGGATTGATTTTGGGTACTACATTTCCACCAACCTAAATAACAAGAAAAGGAAAAAACAATTTTAAAAACAAAATTAGAAATAAAGTCAAAGTGTGTACATTTGAAAACTGAAAATTAGTGTGGTGACTGTTATATTTTATAATCCTTCTAAATTTTACTCTTCTTTACATGGATTTACACATTTTCTCAAATTAGTTTAACATGAATTTTAACCACTTTACAATGGCCACATAAATGGAAACTAAGCCCAAAACAAGTTGTCTTTGCTTATAAACAGTCTATATAAGTTTTCTGTTTCTGCGAGAATTTTGACATTTTAGGGCTGGACTCCTTAAGTTGCTAGTTGAGTTTTCTTCTGGGTTCGATTCCTGGCCCGAGGTCTTTCTGCATCGAGTTTGCATGTTCTCCCTGTGCATGGTGGGTTCTTTCAGGGTTCTCCGGCTTCCTCCCACAGTCCAAAAACATGACTATCAGATTAATTGGTTTCTCTAAATTCTCTCTAGGTGTGAGTGTGTGTGTGCATGGTTGTGTGTTCTGTCTGTCTCTGTGTTGCCCTGCGACAGACTGGTGACCTGTCCAGGGTGTACCCCAGCAACCCTCCTGACCACACTAGGGACAAGGGTGTAAGAAAATGGATGAATCCACAGAAAACAAAACTTACGCCACCCTGACTTAAGGAGACGGCATGGTCAGCAGGTGACATGAATGCAGATGTGGCTGATCTATGGGAGGAGACAGATGACGGAGTGGGAGGAGAGGCAGCTGGAGAGGTGCTTCTGGGTCTTTCTGGGTCTTTTCTTCTTCTGAAAAGACTGAGAGGATGGGACAACAGGAGGAGAAACAGAAACAAGATCAAGCACCATCAGTCTCTTCCTGGTTCTCTGGTGTCATCATTGGATGCTCCTCAGTAAGCATCCCAGGCTGCTCCTGACCTATGTTCTCTGTCTGTTCAAAGATCAGGTTCTCAGCTCTTTACTTCTCTTCATCTGGCTTGCACCAGCAATAAATAACATAGACAGGAGGAAAGAAATGTGCCTCTACTGATGCAAGTTCGTTTTTAATTAAAGTAAATGACCTAGCTGCAATCAGTGTATTCAGATAGGGTTCATAAACAAAACTTTAAAGATCATCACAGCCTAGAGGCACTGAGGTTTTTAGGAACCCTCCAATTTTACAAAGTGGCAACAACAAGCATGACTATAAACACTATTATGTGACTATCATGGCTAATTAAACGTATTGTGAAAAAAGAAAAATCAATCACACACATTAAAGAGAACTTAATTCATTCAAATTAACACAATAAGCTTAATTAAAATGCAAAAATAAAAAAAAGGTCCTTTACACCCAACATATACTCAAATTTATGCGCAATTAAAATAAAAGAATACAATCATTAATTCCAAATCATAATATGCTAAGTAACAAAAGTTCAAAAAGTCCATTCTTGAAAAAGCGCACATTTTAGAAGAGGTCCTAACATATCTTCACGAAGTCCCTTATTGATGCTACTGATTGTTTTGAAATGATTGTGTAATAGTCCTGAGAAAAGCTTCCAACGATCCACCTTCTTATTTTCGTACAGTTGATGATTTCTTGAAGTGTAGATGGTGTGCCTGGCCAGGGAAAAAATGATGTTGCAGAGGTTGAATTGTGTCCTTGTTAAATGTCCAGAAAAAGATGTAAAACCAAAGAGTCTGAGTCCCAGTTGTTGTCGTCTATTGAAGAGATGTTGGTGATGATGTGATGGATCTTGTTCCAGAACAGGAACAAGATCCATCACATCTTGTGACAGCAAAGGAACAGGTGCTCTAAAGTCTCGGGGTCTGAAAGACAAACTGTACAGTCTCTGCCATACTTCTCCTTGTTTATCTGGTGCAGGATGACGCCCGTAAAAATTCTTCTGTGCCTTAACAGAAAATCGGTGTTGTTGGCTTGTTGATGATTGAATTTGAACTGTATGTTTGACCAAATGTTATAAACCGGTATACTGGGAAACATTTTGGCCCATTGCTTGTGAGCTGCGGGTTCTTTGCAGATGTGTGAAACAAATATGCAGTACCATTTTTTTGTTGTAACTGAAATATGTGTTTTCTGATTACCGATTGATAGAAGGAAAGTTGGGGCGTCATCCTGCACCTTCTGATGTCGTCTTCTCCTGCCAATGATCGAGGAGCAGTGGAAAGGCAAAGCGGCCTGGATCTTTTTAGCATGTTTAACTGACATTTCTTTTATAGGGCATTTTAGAGGATCTGAAATGATTAAATATTTTATTAATATCCACTGATCCTCGATCATTCAGAATCTGCCCAAAGGTGTGAATACCGGCTCTCCTCCAGGACGGGAGACTTAGCATCCTGCCCTCACAGACCACCTCAGGGTTGTTGAAAATCGGCAGCGAGAGACAAGACCTGTACTTGACATGCGTGACGAGTTGAAACCTAATTTTGTTCCAGGCTTCAAGACATTCTGTGAATAATTCGTTAGACTGTATTAGTTTTGGATCAGAAATTGAACACAAATTAAAAATGGTTTTTGTACTAAATGAATTAAAACAGGTGATGTGAATTAGAACCTGGTCATGAGCTTTATTCTTATTGCTTGTTTTTTTGATTGAATGTCAACTAATTTGAGTCCTCCTTCTTTAGGCGGAGCAATCATTGTTTTATGGCTGACTAAATTGCTTCTGCTTTTCCAAATGAACAAAGAGATTTGACTGTTAAATCTGTTGAGTACTTGTTTTGGGAGATCATAAACACTGAGTGCTGTGCGGAGCTATG